GAAAGGAAAAAAAAAAAAAAAAAAAAAAAGAAAAGGTGTATGTATGTTGATGGTGGAGAGGGGGATGATATAAATATATGCATAGGATCACACCTGTCACATACCTAAAAAAATAGAAAAACAGATGGAATGAATGTCAGTCTTGAGAAAGCAGTCTCACAATATTAGGAAAAATCATTCAACTAATTATCACTGACTATGAATTATATGCTAACAACTGTACCAATACCCATAAACTCAAAGATGAGTCTAAACAGAGGGCTTAAACCACTGGGACCTTGATATTCACCTGGAAAAAAACAGTAAATTAAATAACCAGCCATTTATATGCAAGTGAGCTGATGTGAAAAACACTACAAGAAAGATGTGCATTTGGTTGGGAAATCCAATAATGGGTTAGATAAAGGGTTGTCCAGCAATTCTGACTTTAAAACATAAGGGTTCAATTGACCACTGGAGAAGATTAAGAAACTGAGAGGGGAAAAAATGTATCAGGTAGAGGAAATGACCTGCTCATGGAAGACACATCCCCTTGTCTGAAACTGAAAATGCCAGTGTGGCTGGTGTGAGAAAACTGCAAGGCCTTTGGTATCACATGAGCCTGCAGGGACCATGGCATATAACACTTCCCCAGTTATGTAACATTTAGGGACTCTTTTCCAGGAGCAAAAGAAATTATCCATATTTTCCCACCAGAGAACACACCGAACATAATTAGCTCTGAACTTGGGCTGTAGAATGTTAGTTGGAGTAGCCAAAAGAGGGGTTCTATGGATAGTAACTTCATAGGGTGATGTGATCATAAATTCCTAACTGGGTAGGTCATGGGGTAGGCATCCTTCAGGCATACAACTTCTTTACTAAAAGGATTATCTTTGCCTTAAGCAAGCCCTGTCCATTTTTTTTGTGCATCTAGGTTAGCATACCTTTGAAATGCCTCTTTCAGACCTCTCACAAGTATGACTATCCTCGAGAAAGCACATGACCTTAACTATCCTGTGATCCAATTGCTGCCTTGCTTTCTCCCACCTTCGTGTAATCTTCCTTACTATCCTCCTTAATTCAAAATGCATAAAAAGAGCTGTGAAATTCTTTTCTAGGAAGCATTTTTCTCAGTCTGTTGAGATTTTGTGTATCCTCTGTGTGGCCCATCACTGATAGCAAAAATGGACAAATGTGTAAAATGCATTTGGGCTACAGAGACTTTACATAGATCTAAAATGTCCGTTAGTAAGCATAGACCTTATTTTTCACAAAGGGCATGTGACCCTTATAACCAACTGTTTCTTTTAGGCCCCTGGAAGTTGTGCTCATGGGTTTTTACAAGGTAATCCGCCTTTTGTAATCCCTAGGCTTACATAGCCTATGGTAGTTTTGTTAGTGGCAAAAACAACACCAGGTGTTAACCGGTGGAGTCTCACTGGAACTTGGTTCAGCAACCTTGGTACTTAAGTTCTGGATAAGAGAAGAATTCAGAGCCAAGATTCAAATTATAAGAAAAAGTTTATTTAGAAAATCACAGAGGTGGAAAAATGAGCTGCAGGAGATATGGACTCAGGAAATAAGTTACAGAGGCAAAAGTGGGGCCCTTGGAGCTTAGAGGAGAGGGAGAGAGAGGTACCTTGGGAGATGAAAGAAAAGTGGAAAGGGTTTGCGCATGCTCCGGGTAGAGAGTGAGCCATGGGAAAGAAGGGGGTGGGGAAAGGTGGGGCATTCACTATCAAGAGAGAGCTGCACTGGGTCCTTAGTCCTGAGGGCTTTTATCTGGGGTCTCAGGGGAAGATCTCAATAAAATATTCATCAGCTTTCCCAGTGTGTCTCCTCAGGGTCATGGTCTCCACAGATTGGTCAGAGCTAGAGGGGGGTCAATAGTCATTGCAGCTGGTCCTGATGTCAGCTACAGCTTTGCTCCTCCTGGCTTGCTGCCCTTCTGGGCCTGGAGCTGAAACATGCCTGAGGACTGGATGTCACATCCAGGGAGTGTTCATGCAAGGGCTTGTAGTTTTGCCCATTGCTAGGCACCTGGGGCTCTCCACTCTGGTGACCCTTTGCACCTGGCCTAACGTTACTACACTGCTCATGCCAATCTAACTGCCTACTACAGATTCACACACATTCACTTATTCTGGCTTCTTAAAAGAGAGAGATGACAGGAATAAAGTATCCGTTATTTCTATAAAACATATATCTGAGAGCACATCTGAAGAACTATGCCAGCACTCCCTGTCTCCTGTCCTGTATCCTCAGAGTCTGTCTGTCCTCAGCAAGGTGGGGTTAAAAATGTAAACCAAAATTAATTTTAGGCTGTAATAAAGAATAACAAGCATTTATTTGAGCAAAAGGAGCTGCACCTTGGAGACACAGTTTCAGGTAGCAATGTTAATTGTGTTCCCTGGCCTACACAAAGGGGAGGCTGAATTGTATTCCTTAAATTCCACCCACAATTCCAACTAGTCTGTTTTATGGAAATGAGATATCCAAATAGTAGAGTTCAGTCTGAAGTTCTTCTCTGTACACAGAGTACATGAGAAGCCCCCAGTCAGCAAATAACTTTATCATGTTCTAGTTAAGTTCACTTTATACTTCCCCTTCTATCATCTCACCATTTCAGCCCAACTTCCCCCCAACCCACACTGGCCACTTTCATGTTCCTTAATCACTTAGGACAAATTTCATAATTTCCTTGAAGACCACCCAAAATCACCTTCCTACACTGAGACCTAATCTAAAATCTATTTAAAACTGCAAAGCATTTTACCAAGGTTTTATAGATATCTTGCCCTGTTGCAGTCCTTTTGCTTTATTATGGTTATTGTTTCTTTGTTTTACATTTCTAACATAGTAATTTTTATCTTGTTTTATACAACCTTACTCTTTTACTGCTTTTTACTTTCTCCCCCATACCAAAATATAATTTTTGTAGGTACTTAATATTTGTTGTGTGTTCAATAGTAGTGAATACAGTTTTATACCACAAGGGTATGCATTTATTCTTGTAATTTTTAATAAATATTTTCAATATTTATAGAATTTTATTTTCTCCTGCTTTTTTGGACATGTTATAGAACTGGAGAAGTCAACTAATATTCATCAGATATGGACCTTGTACAGGTATAAGGCACAGATTCATGACCTCTGAAAAAGAGTAAAAAAGGAAAATAAACATCAAAATACATGTAAGAGACATCAAGTTTCAAAATGATCAAAGGTGAGATTAAGACAGAGTTCTTTTCGCTTTCAGTCAAAATGGTGGCGTAGGTAAACTCAGTACTCGCACCTCCCACAACCACATAAAAATTAAAACTAAACTACAGAACAACCATCATTCAGAACTGCCTGAAATAGATGTCCTATAACTAAGAATATAAAGAAGACACCACATGAA